CGGCAAGAAACGACCGTATGGCGGCCTACATGAAAACGACAATTCCCTGTTGGCAAAATTTGACTATCATGAGTTGAACCAGATAACACGTGATCAGAACACCCATGTAAATGCCATGCCTTGGCTTGCCTAGCCTAGCCTCCGCAATCAACTCAGAGATTAAACGGACCATTGAAGTAGGATTCATCCCAGAGCCAAGCATTGGCCCTTTGGAGGAAGCCTAAATCAACGTCATAGAATTTGTACCAAGTTGAATGGATCCCATTGTTGCATTCCTATCTTCTGAACAACTCCTAGAAGACAAGAAAGAAGCACATAAGCTGCGAAACAAAGCCATGCGATACTACTTGGACCTGCAAAGGAGGCTTTATAAAAAGTCACTCTCTGGCCCATATTTGGAATGTGTGCACCTGGATAAAGTCGAGGAGCTTCTGGTTGAGATATACGAAGGCAGTTGCAGAGCCCATTCTGGCAGACGCTCTTTGGCCCATCGAGCTATAACGCAGGGGTATTATTGGCCGACAATGAGAACGGACGCCGAATATTATGCAAAAAATTATGAACAATGCCAGAAATTCTCCCCGTTAAACCATCTTCCTGCTGAAGAGTTGAACTCAATCACCAGCCCTTGGTCGTTCGCCCAGTGGGGGCTTAATATCGTAGGAACACTGCCGAGGGCCCCAAGGAACAAGCGATACATGATCGTCGCAACAGATTACTTCACGAAATGGATCGAAGCGGAGGCATTAACACACATCCGAGATGCTGACGTTAAGCGCTTCGTGTGGAGGAATATCATAACACGATTCGGCATTCCCAAAGCTCTTATCTCAGACAATGGCACCCAGTTCAATTGTGACGTGTACCGAAAGCTGTGTAGCAAATACAGTATTCGGCCTTACTTTTCTACACCAGCTTATCCCCAAAGCAATGGCCAAGCCGAAGCCTCTAATAAATCCATCTTGGACGGCATCAAAAAGAGGCTGGAGAAAGCCAAAAGCAGATGGGTCGAGGAATTGCCAAGTGTATTGTGGGCTTATCGAACTACACCGAGAAGATCGACTGGAGAAACGTCATTTGCCCTATGCTTTGGAACCCAGGCAATCTTACCCCTGGAGATTAGCCACCCGACACTCAAGTCGCAAGTCTTTGATATGGGCCGAAACGACATGATGCTGGCTTTGGATCTGATCCTAATCGAAAAACAAAGAGACCGAGCCCTTGCGTCAATGACGCGATACCAGCAGTAGCTGGCAAAGTCATATAATCAACGGGTTCAGTTGTGCCGCTACACACCAGGAGAATTGGTCCTGAAGAAGGTGCTTCCAGCTGACAGGAAACCGGCCAATGGAAATTTGGGTCCTAACTGGAATGGCCCATACCAGATTGATTCGATCGCCGGAATAGGAGCATATTGGCTCAAAGACATGTCAGGAAGGAGTCTGCCATGGCCCTGGAATTCCACGCATTTACGCAAATTTTATCATTAACCCGACTTGTGGGACATTATGCTTGCTCCGACCTGTTCGTTATGTACATCTCTTTTTCTATAATACAAAGATTCCCATTCACCTACTATACAATCTAGTTCAAAGATGTTCCAATTAAAGTCTCCGAATTCGGAGCCCCATCGGTGAATGACGTCTTTGGGCCGATCAAGCCTCCGGATTTGGAGCGCCCTTCGTGGATATCACGATTGGCCAATTAAAGTCTTAGGATTCGGAACCCCATCGGCGAATGACGTCTTTGGGCCGATCAAGCCTTCGGATTCGGAGCGCCCTTTGTGGATATCGCGATTGGCCAATTAAAGTCTCCGGATTCGGAGCCCCATCGGCGAATGACATCTTTGGGCCGATCAAGCCTCCGGATTCGGAGCGCCCTTCGTGGATATCACGATTAAAGTCTCCGGATTCGGAGCCCCATCGGCGAATGACGTTTTTGGGCCGATCAAGCCTCCGAATTCGGAGCGCCCTTCATGGATATCACGATTGGCCAATTAAAGTCTCTAGATTCGGAGCCCCATCGGCGAATGACATCTTTGGGCCGATCAAGCCTCCGGATTTGGAGCGCCCATCGTGGATATCACGATTGGCCAATTAAAGTCTCCGGATTCGGAGCCCCATCGGTGAACGACGTCTTTGGGCCGATCAAGCCTCCGGATTTGGAGCGCCCATCATGGATATCATGATTGGCCAATTAAAGTCTCCGGATTCGGAGCCCCATCGGTAAATGACGTCTTTGGGACGATCAAGCCTCCGGATTCGGAGCCACATCGGCGAATGACGTCTTTGGGTATCACGATTGACGTCTTTGGGCCGGTGAACCCTTCAGGTCGTGCGTAATAGTCGATTAAATCAGGCCGAACAATGTCCATACAAATCGCCTGAAATACGTTTATTCAAACATTTATATAATAAAACGCATGCAATCATGTGTGTGCCGAACACAACTTATAACAAAACATTGAAAATAAGATGTTTTTTTATTCGACCAACCAATAATTACATAATCTTAGACGCAATCCGCGTTCGAACACTCATAACGAGTATTTTTATTCGGCGACTCCCTCATCATCGCTCTTTTCAACTTCAAAGGCGGAAAAGGGCAAATGATCACGATGATCCAAGCCACATAAGTTAAAATCGACACCCTTTGCTCAGAGAGCCTCCGTGGCCTGAAGAGCCGCGATCTAACCATGCTTAAAACCACGATTCTCGCATCGACAGACCTCCTCAGCATGTGTCTCTTTCGTTTTGTCGATCCCAACCTTCCGGCCATCATGGAAACCATGCTTATAACCCTTGGCCCTCGCATTTGCTATGGCAAACATGTCTGCCGTATCTCAGTCGGCGATGGCATGACTCAATAGCCGTTGGGTCACCCTCTCGTCCACAATCGGGTTAGACTAACCCGCCGCTTGCGAATCGTGAATTTAACCTTCCTAAGCTCTCTAAGCTCACCCTCAGCCTTTTCCGCATGAGCCTCCGAACAGCGGACCCGTTCGCTCATTTTCTCCATCTCCCGCTACACGGCGCACAGACACATGCCGACTTCGTAACGGTGTACAGCCCCTTCATCGCCCCATGAATACCTTCTCGAAACACTTCAAAATCTCGTCGTCCAACTATCAATTGTTGGACTTCCGGTGGAAAGATCTGTCGAGCGAACTCGACCGCTACACCCGGATCATTGACGATGGAATCTGCCTCAGTCATCGATTTATTCCCCACGAACACCATAAAACTCAATGGTCATGGCGTCGTGTCTTACTCATTCCTCCATTGTGGTAGTGGGGAGCTTCCCCGTGGATGCTTCTCTCTTCAGGGTGATCTGCTTCGATGGCTCGAAGGTTGACGTTTTTCGCTTTCCTTGGACGTCCTTCCTCCCATACGCACAGGTTCGCTGCTGTGATTCATCGCAGTATCTAGCTCAGCTAGCGTTCGTCCCTCTCCTCTGTTGTTGAAGAACAGTCTGTTTGACATTCGCCCTCGCCTCAAGCTAGTTCAAATCGAGTTTGGATAAGAATAAGTGGACCCACTGGCGTAAACTCACCCCATTTATTCGTGGGTATGCAACGACCCTGAGGCAATTTCTCATGCCGATTGATATGTGCCACAGCCACTCCATGCACTGAATTTTGGCTTTCTAAATGGCCTAATTATCTAAACGGCAATTATGAGAGAGTGCCTTGAAGTCCATGCACTAGTTAGGGCAATGGCAGATTTATTAATCTAACCGGCCGAGCATCTTGGTCCCATGCCGATTGATATGTGTCACAGCCACTCCATGCACTGATTTTTGGCTTTCTAAACGGCCTAATTATCTAAACGGCAATTATGAGAGAATGCCTTAAAGTCCATGCACTGGCTGGGACAAGGGAAGATTTATTAATCTAACCGGCTGAACATCTTGGTCCCATGCCGATTGATATATGCCACAGCCAATCCATGCACTAAAGTCCATGCACTGGCTGGGGCAAGGGCAGATTTATTAATCTAACCGGCCAAGCATCTTGGTTCCATGCCGATTGACATGTGCCACAGCCACTCCATGCACTGATTTTTTGCTTTCTAAACGGCCTAATTATCTAAACGGCAATTATAATAGAGTGCCTTGAAGTCCATGCACTGGCTGGGGCAAGGGCAGATTTATTAATCTAACCGGCCGAGCATCTTGGCCCCATGCCGATTGATATGCGCCATAGCCACTCTATGCACTGATTTTTTGCTTTCTAAACGGCCTAATTATCTAAATGGCAATTATGAGAGAGTGCCTTGAAGTCCATGCACTGGCTGGGGCAAGGGCAGATTTATTAATCTAACCAGCCGAGCATCTTGGTCCCATGCCGATTGACATGTGCCACAGCCACTCCATGCACTGATTTTTGGCTTTCTAAATGGCCTAATTATCTAAATGGCAATTATGAGAGAGTGCCTTGAAGTCCATACACTGGCTGGGGCAAGGGCAAGGGCAGATTTATTAATCTAACCGGCCAAGCATCTTGGCCCCATGCCAATTGATATGTGCCACAGCCACTTCATGCACTGATTTTTGGCTTTCTAAACGGCAAGTATACAAAAGGTTTTATCCAAAACAGCAACCAAACAATTCCGTTCATTAATAAAAGAAAAGTACAAAATGAATTTTCATTACGTAAATTGGACACAAATGGTAACCATTTTACATATGAAAATTACTAAACAAAAAGCTATAAAAAGTTGAAAATTACATACAAATCGTAAAACAAAAACACGAGCCGCCCAAATTAGCCCTCGGAGTCAGACTCCAGCGGCTCAACATCCACTTGCTCGTATGGAATTGGCGTAGCCAATGTCACATCAGCAGCAATAAGGGCTTTGAGCCAACCGTGTTTAAATCCCCGATTTTCAAATTTGGGGACTTCGTCTACATATTCATCAAAAACAGACTTCTTCCCAGCATCGAATGCGCTGGCAGCCTTCAGGTCGGCTATTTCTTTCGCCGCCTTCATCTCTTCCAACCCAGCCTCCAATTTAGAGATCGCCTCCTGGGCCAACTTAAGCGCGTCATCGCTCGCATTCGCTCTCTTCTCGGCAACTGATCTCAATTCTTCAGCATGGCTGGCTCTCTCCATCTTGGCCTCAGCATGGGCGCCCTCCGTTTGCGCCCTACTCCTTTGGCCCTCAACCTCGGCTTGTAAATGGCCAATTAGCTCGACGGCATCGTGATAGCGACGGCCCATGTCAGCTATCCTCCCGACGGCCTGCAAAACAGGAAGTCAAGAACAAAATAATATTTGCGTAAAGAGAAAAGACAGAGTTTAGATATATACCAAAAGAGCCGATTGCGCGGCCAACCCAATTGCAACCAGATCAGGCTCTGCTCGAAAAGTCGCCTTGTCAGCAGGCAGTAAAACGGATGTTACCAAGCTGAGTGCAACCGCTGGATTTTTGATTACCGAAGCATCGGAGGAGATCTGCATATTTTATATCTTGTGCTGAATAACAAAAGGTACAATCACATCCGACTCCTCCACACGAGGTCGTTTGTCGGCACGGTCTTCTTCTGAGCCAGCCTCGACGTTGGCACGGTGTTTCTCCACCCTTTGCTCAGCTTCTACACTTGCCTGCACAAAAGGTTCTGCCTTGGAACTTTTGTTCTTTGCCGTCCCCTCAATAACAGGCAAGGAGGTCTGGGACTGAGATTCGGCAGCCCGAATCTCCTCCGCCCTTCGCCGCGCGGCCATCCTTTCCGCGTTTGCCTTCTTGGCAAGTTTAGTGAGGCTCAACCCAGCTATATCTTCTAGGAACGCGCCAGGAAGGTCCTCCAGACCGTGAAAAATATCGTCGAGCAGACGATCCTCTCGACCCGAAGTGGACGGAGGATCAGCCGAATTGAGGTCGGCTACTTCAAATGCTAACTTCAAAGCCTCGTCAACCTCAGTTTCGGATTGGCCTGACTCGGCGGCCTCAGCTACTTCCGGTCGCTCCGAATCTGATCCCTCGCAACTGACTTGCCTCAAATTTCTGAAATCTGTCAAGATAAGGGCGATAAGAGACTCCTCACCCTCCGGAATTATGATGTTTTTTGCCGCCGAAAAAGTCGCATAAGTCGGCTCGTAGCGGAACAGAACGTGGGCCGCCCTTCCCTACTTCTGAAGACTCGGTCGGTCGAAATACTTAAGCGTAGTGTTGATTTCTGAAAGGACGGCGTCATCGGTCGAGATCAAGACTTTCTTCAAATCGTTTCCTGCAAAGCAAAACCATGAGGTCCCGGAAATAAAGTTTTATAAATATAACAAGTAAATAAATAAAAGAATATACTCGGCCACTTGGTTCGCCCCTCCATCTAGGAATACGATCAAGGCGATCCTCGCCTTCGCTGAATTCTCAGTTTCCTTAGACGACGACCATAACATCATCAATTCGCTTTCCAAAGCTGGAAAGCATAGTCACTAGTTGATGGTCGGTGTCTTTGGCCCTAAGGAAATAATGCCCGTGCCGACCAGAAGACTTAGCCAAGGCGTAGCAATGCCGAATAGCGGAAATGCCAAGGTTAAGCCTAAGGCGGCGGTTTAGTGCGATAATTCCCATCATGATCCTATAGAAGTTAACGTTGGGTTGGGAAAGGATTAACCCCCAATGGCAAAGCACGACCCTAAGGAATGGGTGAAGGGGAAAGCGGATCCCACCCTCTACGATTGATAGAGAGGGAAGACGATCGTGGTTTCATCAACCCTCTCCATATCGAGGGTGCTGTCTGCCACAAATGATAAACGGACATCATCAAGAATGGAAAAATGGCGTCAGAAGCCAGAAATTCGATCCGGTGAGAGTAGATCTTTTAAATGTTTCGCCATTTCCCCAGCCAATAGGATTATGCTAAGCCAAAAAACAAAGCAGAGAAGAAGAGAACTTACAAGAGGCGAAGGAGATAGAGAAGAGTAGGAACTTGCAGAGGTAGTTCGAAAGGCAATCCAGCAACGGGCGTCTAAAAGCATGTATGCATTTGAAAAGACGTCGAAATTCTAAATCACAACAAATAGAAATGTACGAAGAGGCGGGAAGTTGAAATGACAACCAGGAAGCGTGTGTACAGACATTTGCGTTAGAATACGGTCAGCCGTCAAATTTCGGCTTTGACTCTTCGAGTTCGAAGCCAAACATTCCAGCCAATTGTCGTTAGTGGAGTGCTTGGGGGGCAATTGTGGGGGCCGAGAAGAGGGAATCGTAGAGATTCCGGATAGCCGAATCTCGGAGAGTCGAGATTCGAAGCACTCAGCAATTGGCTCGCAAGCTCAAATCTAGCCCTATTCGGCCAAATGACCGATTAGGCAAGGGGCCGAGTGAAGTTCGATCTATTATAAAATACGCCGAATATGAGTTGGAAATGGACCGAATCCCGAGGCCCATGGAAGAAAAGATATAAATAGATGAACATCAGCCAGAAAGAGGTATGTGAGAATTGTTGTGCTTAACTTAGAATGCAAGCATTCTTGAGTGTAACGACTAACTTGTCCGTCAGAATGCTAATTCTGGTATCCCCAACCGGAGTGTTTATTCCTTTTCAAGTGACTATTAGCGGATCACGAGCGTCCTCCAAGATCAGAGGAGTATTTCCAAAACCACTTCTCCACAATAATTTTTTTTCATCATTCCTTTTCTAAATTACAAATCATGGAATCATTATAAAAAATAATAAATTATGAGATTTAAAAAAAAAATTATATATAATATAGATATACTTAAATTTATTTGAGAATAAAATTGTGTTTAATTATTGAATAGAGAGAGAATCTATATATAAAGTTTAATTTTTATTTTATGTTAGGCTTAATTTTAGGTTTATATAAATCAGATCAATTGTGAAATATATTAATAGTATATATTTTATGAGAGGTGAGAGAATTTTTTTTTTTCATTAGATTTATTTTAGGAGAGAGGAGATTATATGAGATTTATATTCTTTTTAAATAAATGCTTGATTTATTTTGGGACGAATTATACTAACAATCCCTATAGTTTAGAGATCGTGTCACTTTAATTCCTAAGTTTTCAATTGCGACACATTTGACCTTGAATTTTGAATTTTGCTTTAAATAAGGACAATTGAAGGTATTATTACTCAATTTCAAGGGAAAAAGTCATCAATTTGATAAAATATAAACTAATTTGACAAAAATAAATGTCAAAAAAATATTTTTAAATTTTAAAAAATTATTTCTACCCATTAAAGATAAAATTATGTAAAATTGATAAATTTTTTGCGCATTTATTTATTTATTTTATCAAATTAATTTTTATTACGTATTTGGATGATAATCATGTTATGGGTGGTTGTTAAGTTTTTAATATGTAATTGATATATTTAATATATGAAATGTTTTTAGTTTTGCATTTTTTTATTTAATGGATTGGTTTAATATTAATATCAAAGTGTCGCCGTATTTGACTTTTAGAAAAATGGAGATTTAATGAAAATAAAAACAACCACCCATTACATGATCATCATCTAAAAACATAATAAAAATTAATCTGGTAAAATAAATAAATGTGTAAAAGATTTATTAATTTTGCATTTTATCTTTGGTGGTTAGAAATAATTTCTAAAAACTAAAAAATATTTTTTTGACATTTATTTTTGTCAAATTAATTTATATTTTATCAAATTGATGATTTTGCCCCCCTTGAAATTGAGTAATGGTATTTTCAATTGTCCTTATTTGAAACAAAATTCAAAATTCAGAGTCAAATGTGTCACAATTGAAAAGTCAGGGATCAAAATAACACATGCCCCAAACTATAGGGACCATTAGTATAATTTGTCCTTTATTTTGAGAGGGAGAGGGGGGTTGAGAATTGTGTGTTTTTTTCTTTCTTTCTTTCTTTCTTTTTTTTTTACCGGCAATATATTTGCATTAAATAATTTTGAAGGTTAATATTTATGTCTTTGAAATAACCAATAGACGTTTTAATTTTTTATATATATAAAATTCAAAAATTTTGATTTAAGGTTTTGAAACACTTAGGACCTCTAAGATGAAAAGTCACTTTGGTATAATATATAGCATAAATAGATATATTATGAGATTTAGAAAAGAGATAAAATTAGGGGAGAGATTATAGGAACTTGTAATTCAATTTTTTTTTAATATATAGTTACTTTGTTAGTCAATAGTATTATTTTTAAATATTTTTAAAATTTCAAAATTAGCAATTTATGTTTTTTTTTAAAAAAAAAATCTATGGTTGCTTTGTTAGTGAAACTGTACTATTTTTAAATATTTTTAAAATTGCAAAAATTAGCAATTGTGGTTTTACGTTCTTTTTATTCTATAATGTTTTTTAAAAATATATATATATATAATTACTTTGTTATGAAATGAGATTTTTTTTCCTTTTTTTTTTTTTTAAATATATAATTACTTTGTGATGAGATGAGATTTACAAAAGAGAGAAATATTGGGGGAGAGATTTTAGAAACTTGTAATTCGAAATTTTCGAGGGGTTTTTTTTTTTTTAATCTATAATTACTTGGTTAGTCAATAGAATTATTTTTAAATGTTTTTAAAATCACAAAAATTAACAATTGTGGAATAAGACTTTAGAACTCTCACAAACCTTCTCACTAAAAACTCCATTTTCCTTTTATAATATATAGATATAGATTTTGAAAAGTAAGTTAAAAGTTAATTTTTCAATTTTTTTGACTTTTTTTTTATAAAAAAAAGGTGTAAAAAAATAGAGGTGATATGACCAAAAAAAAGTCAAAAAACTAATTTTTTTTTTTTTTTTACTTTTAACCTAATTGCCAAAATACGCCAAAGCTATACGCACCAATTGATATAACAATTAGTGTACTAACGAATGATATGATATAATTTTAGAGGTTTAAATCTTTGTAATTTATATAATAAGTGGGATTCATAATTTTAAATTTGTAATAGTATAATATATGTTAATACATTAATTAATATATTAATTGATACATATAATATCAGTGATAATCTTTTTTTGCCGTATTTTCTTACCGCTAAGCACTAATATACAAGTTTTATGTGCATTTATTAATGTGAATCTTATCATCTCATGCCTAGAAATAAGAAAATGAGATAAAAATAATATAAAATTATGTATAATATTACCTTTATTAAGGTGGTGTTTGATAACATTATCAATTTCTTGTTTCTTACTTACAGGAAAACAAGTTAATTTTTTTTTGGGTATGACTTCTATCCAGTTCGGGATTGGACTGGACCGTGCTGTTGGATCCGTGAGGGCCCACCACGGGTCCCGTTTTGATAATCTGAACCGTTCAATGTGTAGAACTCGTCGAGTACTATATGCTTGTAAAAAATTACGTTGATCGGATATCGATAGCTATATGATCAAATCAGTTTCGTATTAAAAAAATTGGACGATGAACAAATTAACGGTTGACAAAAAACTGTTTTGATCACATAGCTATCGATATCCGATCAAC